CCTTCTAACTTGGGAAATCCCAAAACTACTGGTTGCTGGAAGGAACCCATTTTTTAGACAAGAGACATTTGTTACCAGCTCTAGGTAGATAAGAATACGCCAGAACAAGCTTCATTGTTTTTTCCGGTCCCTATATAAGGAATGCAGTTAGCATTTTTGTGATTTGACTAGTTAGTTCTGCTTTTGAGCTGAGTCCTATTGTTTGGTTTGTGAATGGCTCCCATTACTGAAATACATAGGTGGCATTTATGACAGATTACCTTACACTTTTCTACAGTAATGACATTCTAGCAGTTTATAATTCTAAACTAGAAACCAGACTAACTAAGTGGCCTGGTCAAAGTTGGAGTGAGGTGTTGGAGTGGGTTTGGGGTTTTTTTTGGTGTGTGGGGGGGAAGACTGGATGTTTCGGGTTTTTTGTTGTCAAGGTTTTCTTTTTTTTTTAACTGAAAAAAGAAAAAAAAGAACAAATATTAGCAACCCAAGAGCATCGTCCTATAAAACCTATGATCTCATTGTGTTTTCTTGATTGATTTTTCTCCCTAGATTTGTAGTTAGTGATGTCAACAGTGCGACACTGAAATAAGCAAACAAAATCTCAGAAAAACAACAGCAATTGTCCTGTTCAATACATCTATCTTAATTTCATTCAGCAGCGTAATAAAGTCTCCTTAGCCCCAGTGACAGACACCTCTTTGGCAGAAGTCTGGCGAGGTGATTGTTCCACGTACCCTTGAAGAAAAGGGATGAGATAAGAAATGGCAAGAAATTTAAGCATTTCATGCAACTCCATTGCACCATTCTCTCTCAGCCTAGAGAAAAATCAGAAAAGCTCAATGAGAAATTTACTGTTGTTTTTAACTTTCTACCTTTGTACACTTAATTGATAGTCAAAATGCAGAATAGATGTGTTTGCTCCACAAATCATTGTGGCCCGTGATCTATCTTGCCTATTCAAAAGATAATACTGGGAAGGGCTGCAAGATTTTAGTGAGTTTGAATACCACTGTCCTGCTAATCCATGTGAATCCTAACCTAAGACACTGCTGCCAAAAGCAAAAAAGGTGGCGTTTTCCCTCCACTTGCAACAACTCTATTAAAAGAATTGAGAAGTGGATGAAAAGAAGCTCCTTCTCCAGCATTGTTCATGTGAGTAATACATCTGGGGAGCAAGAGCCCAGTAACTGTTCTGTCACGTTTTTTTAGCACACTCTCTGAGAATTTTTTGCTTAATCTTCCATGTAGATAAAATAAAAATTCATCTATATCATTGTTCAGAAAACACTTGCCCATATATGCTCACTCTATCAGCAGTATGGAAGCAGGTGCACTAATGTATAAAAATGAATTATTTCTTCTGTCAGATTGACTCAGAACTTTTTAGAGGTTTGCATAGGAAGCAAAGAACCAGTCTGGCGTTCTGCAGAGCGACTTGCCAGACAAAACAAAAAACCCCATAAGCTAGAGGAACTGTATGATCAGTATTATGAAATAGGAAGGCAGGGGATTTCAGACGTGTGAAGAACGATGGATGTGAGAGTGCAAGTGTAAAGAAAAGAAGAGTTATTATTGCTTTAAGCTTTTCAAAATGGCATACTTTAAATTCCATGCAGGTATTACCGGCTGGCAGTATATTCTCTTAGCACAAAATGAACATAAACACAGGCAACTGCTTATGCTTCAGTCTGCTATTCTGCTATTTAGTATTTTTTGTCAATGTATTTTCCAGTATTTGCCTAGAATCAATGCAAATCAACACAACTCCTGTGTTTTAAACAGTCTATATAGTATAAAATGAGGCCCAGCACAACTTTGATAGTTCCAAATGGATCTTTTAAATGTCATTTTCCACATTGTTTTTTCACAGCCAGAGAAATCAATAGCAAAAAAAAAAAACCCAACATTAAACTGATGAAATATGGAATTTCAAGCAGACCTATATCTAATAACGATCTTTCAAGTTCCCTGTGCTGTTATACAGACTTTTGGGATCTCCTAGGACAGCTGCATACCTGTCGTCAGACCATGTCAGGCCACTAGGTATGGCTTTGCCATATACTAGAGCTCAGCCGTCTCTGTTAATGACTTCTGTCTTTTTACATACCTGTGACCATTCAGTGCATGTTGCCTTTCTTGTGGCATTTTTCTTGGTATAAAACTGCACTCTGCAACCACTGTCAAGTAAGCAGTGAATATTTCATGAAATATTTATTTGCAAATCTTGAATGTCCCCAGTCATACATAGCTTTTTTGTTTGAATGTATGATTAATTTTTAAGCATCCACATTTCCTCAATGACACCGAAATAATTTTCTAACAGCATCTTTTTCAGTTCAGGCACAATTGTTTTAATTTTTCACCAAATAAAATGTCAACACTTGACAATTTGCCATGGACTGGGGCATTTTTGTGATAGAGCACTGTTCTATTCAATCAAATCCTGATTAGAAATTCTCTTTGGGGGGCAGTAGGGCATAAGAAGGATAATAATGTAGGAATAGTGGGAGTGGTAAAGGCATAAGTGAAATAAAACTTGAACATGTTCATCTTTAGCTCCAAGTCTATTCATCCGATAGGTAATCTGTAACAGATGTCTGAGAGTTTTTTATTTATAAATTTGTTTATAAGCTTTACTTCAATATTATAATTCAGCTGAGCAATCCTGTCCTATTGCATCATTTATGAAACTTTAAAAGTCACATCTGTGAAATACTCTTTCCACTGCCATTGCCCTGCTCTAGCTGTGCTAAAACATCACAGCCACTGATTTGCCACATTTTGGCCATCATTCTGGCCATGGTGGGCTGTCACAACACGAACCAAATTGTGCTCCTTCTCTTCAGGAAATGTACTAGGAGCCATTATCATTCCATTTGTGCATGCCCCTCCTGGAACTTTTTTGACTGGTCAATCATTTTGAGTTAAACATGAAAAAGGGAAAGAATACCATCAGTTCTGTCAATTCACAGAATCACAGAATCACAGATTCATCACAGATTAATATCACAGATTCTTCACAGGTTAGTATCAGCAGCCAGGTAGAGGAAAGAAGAAAAGCGGGTAGAGCAGTTCCCGCGGTAGCAGCGGGTGGGACGAGCAATACTCGCATGGCGGGGTGTCAATCAGCACGCACGTAGTTCCAGGCTCACCACCATAAATGCTATCTGCTGTTCAGCGGGTACATCAAAGACTGTACGGATGAAGCTGGAGACGGAGAGAAGAGCGCTCGAAGAAACAAATGACACAAGGTTATATCAGCACTGCGCAAATAAGACGATTCGGTTAGTTCAACATGTAGCGGACTGCCTAGTATAAGACAGCAGCAGAGGAAAACGCACTGCACTCGTGTGCGCTTAGAATGTCAGAAACTGCAGTGAATATAGGCTCTTCACAATTCGTGGCAGCTCCTCACAGAAAAGGGAAATTTCCAGAGGCTCTGAAGCCAAGATCTTCTTTAACAGGAGTTCTAACAGTTGCATAGCCTGAAAATTTTGTAGATACCAAAGAGGCCAGCAACCGCTAAAATATTTTGGGGCAGGACAAAACTATAAATATCAAAGTAGATGTGGGTTGTGCCAGAATATTTGTCACCATTTTTAAACACATCTGAAAGGATGAGACCCTTATTGGCTATATTTCCAAAAGAACTAAGCAGAATCACTGACAGACGTGTGACGTTAGACTACAGAAACAAAGAACGAAGAACTGTGATAGACATATCTGTGAAAAATCTTTGCCCTCCAGGTGAGTGCAGGACAGTAACTATAGGAAATACAGGATAAATTTATGAGTGTATGCAAGTGTATTTGTAGGTGCTTGTTATAATTATGTTGCAACCTCCCTTTTGGTCAGGCACAGCTGGTTGAACTATGGGACCTTATGAAAATTTATTTAGATTTGTTGTAATTGCCAATCGTTATAAAGTGTAATTAAAACTTATTAACAAAGTAAGTGTAAAGTTCTATATGCATGACCTGAAGCTTGTTTTCTGCATTGCAGTGAGTCATCCAAATGTCATTTCTAGTATCTAACAACTATTTAAAACATCCTGAGCCTTACAAGCACTTCATTAGCATTCTTTCTTCCGAAGACCATGCACCATTCCAGATTAAAAGCATCCCTCCCCCTTAAAGCTCGCATTAGAAAGGGACAGCTTTTTTGCAGCTGTGCACTCGTAACACCAAAATCAAATACATCATGAGGCCAAAAGCAATACTTAGAATTACATTTTGCTACAGTTGTGCCCTTTTGACAAATATGTGTTTTCAGCTTTACTGTTGTCTGGGAAAAAAATATGTACTGTTATGTGAATGACAGGCATTTGGTAAAACACTTGCGGCAGGCTGTGGTATTATCACTCATAAACTAGAAAAGTTTTTTCTTTACAAAGAGAAATATTTCTTTTCCACTGTAAAGCTTTAGTTATTCTGAAAAGATCCATCCTGTTTAAATTTTCTAGATTTATGTTGCATTACAAGGTCATGCCTTGTCCCAGATTTCTTGCTCTGGCCTTTTTAACTGCACTAACATTCAGACAAGTTTTAATAAGACAGGTGACCTTCTTTGTAAAAACTAGTGATCTAGGAACAAATGAGACTGTTCCTTCTGTTGTATTTGTGGCCAGGAAACCATGTTGGAGATTATAGCTGCTCTCTGAGATTTTAACAATGGTGTGCCAAAGCTTTAAAGCAGTAACATGCTGATGGCTATGGCAGCCTCTAAATGTGCAACGTAACCTATTCAGATTATTTGGCCCTTCAGAAACTAAGTAAAGCCAGAAAAATGTCCACGCCCCTTACTCACTAACATCCAGACTGTAGCATTAAAAAGAAAAAAATAATCAAAGGAGATTTTGTATCTACATTTGTATCTGAGGTTAAGGGCCATCTTCACTGAGAACCAGCGTTCTTGCAGCAGAAACCCACCAACAGTGCTCGTATTAGTGGTAAGGCAAAGAGCCTCTCTGTCCAAGGACGCTTTCCGTGGACGTATGCGTGTTGATGACAGCATCAGAGATGTGGGTCCGTGGCCAAGCACAGGCACGGCTGCGAGACCACCAAACGGGGTCTATAAAGCTTGCTCACTTTTCAGCCCTGAGGTTAAATGCAGCAAATGCAGCTCCTTTCCTTCATGACTGGTAAGTAAATCTAGCAGCCACTTCATGTTGAGTGGGGTTATATCATCTCGAACATCACTGAGAACTGTGGGACCCTTTTTTCAATAAGGACTTTCCCTGGCATCTGTTACTAAAATATCCCCTTTTCCTCAGAAAGCACACTAGGCAGCATACCATCCAGTTGCTGTTGCCAGAAGCAGTTGTTTCGGTAGGACTCTACAAATTTAAAGAGTTGGTTCTCTTTCATTTGGGATCATGAACCTTATGTAACTGGGGAATGTGAGGGTCCTGCAGGAAGGCAGCCACCAGCTCTGAAGTTGTGTTGTTTCAGTCATTACAGGGGCTGACATGAGAGGTGTCTCTAAGGTCAAGTCCTAAATTTCCAGAGTGACTTTATCGGCATCGGTTGAGTGGCTGCCATTTACATCGCTGCAGGCAGCTGAGATCAGAATCTGGACCTTTGCCTATGAAATACAGCAGGGAATTGAGGAAAATCTGTGTTAAATATAGAATAAGTTAACAGCAAAGTTCTGGTTATGTCATCATCAACCAGGGAGTAAGCCACGGGTGGAATCTGATAATTCACAAGTAGCACATCTGTAAATTAATTACCAGGGTCCACCAATGAAGGCAAGCGGAATGATGTAAGTCCCATGACTCACCAGGATTTTATTCATGTTTCTAAGTGATGAGTGCCTGGCAAAAGCACAGCATCCACCATGGCAGCAGCACACGGTGAAGTCCTGCTTTTTCCCTTCCCCACTCGGAAGGTATGCTGAGGACAGCGGTGTGCAAAAATTAGCTGGGCTAATAGGAAAAGCCTAGTTACATTTCCTGCTCTTGGAAATAGGAAGAACATTGACGGAGTGTGTAGGCCAAGGCCTGCTTTGCTCTTACTGTAGTTGTAGCTATTAAACTAAAAATAACAGTTCAAGAAGCTGTTCTTGAAGCAAAGCTTTCTGGCCTGAGGCATAACCAGGAAGAGCACTGGAATGCAGGCCCTGAATTGCAACCTCTCTTGTTACTGACAGCTTTGCTGGGCAGCTGAGAAGAAACACGGAGTCTCCAACTAGTAACAATTACCTTTCTAAGACTGAACTGAGTGTTAGAAGAACACTTATAGTGTTATCATAGGAGCATTAGCGCTTGAGTCTATTTTTTCCTACAGACTGTCTTCCCAAGACCTCGTTTACCATTGTTATTCCTGCTTCTCTGGAGCTGGGAGGGGGTTTCCCTCTCAGGACCAGTGATCGCGCCTTCCAGCCTTACGCGCTGCTGCCATGACGCTGGAGCTGTGCGCTGGTCTCCTCCTGCACCGCTGGACTGTCTCATGCCTGCAGCGGCTGGCAGACGGGGCTAGGTGGGGCAGAGAAAGAAAATGTAGTGTGTTCTCATCCTTCTGGGAAGACGTTTTTATCTGCATCCTCCAAGGTTGTTTCCCCCCCCCCCCCCCCCACAAACCCCCGCCGCCACACCTTCATCCGTACCTGGAACACCCTCTGTTTTTCTAAGGATTCTCCTCAGAGGTTGCTGTCAGGGGTTGCTCCTCAGAACCCAGGCTTCCGACAGAAACTCCTCCACCCAGGCCAGCTCTGTGCTGTCCCTGCTAGTGCTGACTCTTTGTCGTGATGGGCTTTGAAGGAACGGTCTCCTCTAATTTTTCAGCTGCGCTTGACTTTAGAAAGCTGGTATCTTCTTGGGCTTATATTTGCATGTCAGATACGTATGTCTCAGAAACAGAAAGGTTAGACGTCAGCCTGATCTGAAGCAACTAGAAAAGGGCACGTTTAACAGCCCCTACCTTGACTGAAGATAAACTGCAGATAAGCCTTCAGCTAAAGTCATCCTCTCTGCACGTGTTGAATTGAGTTAATTTTATGGTCTCAATACGTGCAGAGACTGCATAACAAATACTCAAAATATGTCATTTCCTAATGGTATAATAAATTCAATTTTAACTATTGTATATTTAAATTAATGTATTCACTGCACTGAAGTTTAAATGCCTGTGAAGGTTCTGTAATTTTTTCCCCTAAGGGAAAAACACTTCCTCCAGCTTTCACAACTCTTCTGTTCCTTTGACTGAGCATCATGAATGGGCTGTATAAACCACCCTTGCAACTCCTGAGTGTCTACAAATATTTTCTTAAATGGAATACTAACAGCACGTTATCTTCCAAGGCCTCTTTACTTGAAGGTCAGCAGAGTATTTTACTGACATAAGCCTACTTTTGTTTTTACAAAAGAGGAAAAAAAAAAAAAGGAAGTTTTGTCAGGCCCATAAAGAAAGAAGGCCAAGTTTCTAGATGTCTGATAGAGATTGCCCTCCGATGTTTTCATTTGCAGTTGGGTGGTGACTAACAGGGTTTGGTATGGCCAATGGGGCACTGCCATAAGGCAGCTCTGGAAAATCAAAGGCTGTGTTCTGCTGTCTGCTAACAGCGGTGTGCTTTAAGGAGGTAATCTCTGCTGCATCTCCCTAATGATTTGGGGGGTTTTCTACTCTTCAAACAATCTTAATTCCAAACTCTTTTCTAGATGATTCTGTAGTTCTACTCGCTGACATTGGTCACCTACTCGGGAATGATCCCCTTTAGCCAGCCTCCTGCCAATCTGAGTATCTTGGATGTGTTGGAAATATTTTTATTATATGCTTTATATAATATTATATGTAATATTATATATAATATATATTATATGGCTAGTTACAACTAACTATATTTGGATATCATAATGCATGGGTTATATAATAGATGTACTGTCACAGCTGGTGTTTGATATTTTTAAAACAAAAGAAAGAATTGATGAAAAATTATTTAACTACTAGAAAATATGTATACATTTGATCAGATATTTAGTGTGGTGCTCTAATGTTTGTCTGGGTCCATGGTGCTATTACAGCTTGTATTAAAAGGACATCATCTTTTGTTTGCCATTTTGAGGTAGATGGGTTAAAAGCAAACTAGCATTGCTAATCCAAATTGCGTTTTACCGTTTGTAGTTTTAGGTTTTTATGTACATTCTTTTGGTCTTGTAACACAGGGAGGGAGCAGGAGTAAAAAAATTTGAATAGAGAATTCTTTTAAAGGGAATGTCATTTCAGTATATGAAAATTTAAGGGTTTCTTCAGTTTAAGGTTTTGGAGGGGTTTTTTTTAAAGAGCTTGAGTTAACGTTCTGTAAAGTTTGTCTGATTTCAGAAAAAGATCTTCTACCTCAGAAATTAAACTTTGTAGGTTTTACAATGCAGATGTAATTTTATCATTATCACTTTCCGGTGTGGACAAGCCCTTAGGTAGCACATTACACTCACTAACTCCACTTGTACGTCCATGTTCTCCCTGCTGGAAGATTGTAAACTGCAGCACAATGCTTAGTGGTTTCTGAATAGCTCTTTTCAGTCGAAATTTTAGAGTGGAGACATTCCTGTTCACGTTAGGTTGCACAAGAGCAGTTAGATTAGACCCAAATTAGAGTTCCCTCAAGACAGCATTACTTTTTCTCTCCAGAACACGGATGCCAAGTGCTTTTAAGAACTGAATTACATGTGTGCAGACATCCAGGCAGGCCAAAGCCAGACAGTTGCATTAGACAGCGTTACTGAAGGCAATTAGAGTGTGTAGACAACATTCAGCATCTAATGCGCATGCTATGGATATCGGTTAAGACGCCGCTTCTCGTGACTGCTCTGTCCATTTAGTGCATGGAAACTTCTTTGAAGCATCCATTGGAAGGTGTACCTGGGAGAAAAATACCAGCTCTGGGAACCATTAAATTGGCTGTCATGCCAGGCCTTGTGTTCTGCTACGATAATGCTGACGCTAGCAACTTTTCCATAGGGAAGCTGCTCCAGCTGATTTGACTTTCCATGCAGTGCACAAGTGAATACCGCCTTGTGCACGAGGGAAGTTCTGCTCCATGAGACGAGAAGCCTCCCTTGCTCCCTCCCCATCCAAAAACGTTCTTGCGTGCTGCAGAAGGCTGTGTGACTCAGAGCCATGGGGAGCAGAGCAAACTTTTGAGAGTACACTGAACTTTCAGAACAAGAATCGTCGGCTCTTAAGAAACAGCAGGCAGAAGCGTTCCCGTGGGAGGGACGCCCGCCGGCCTCTCTGTTGGCAGGGTGCAGCTGGGGCATCCGCGGGGGGACAGAGCTGCGGCAGCTGCAGGATTTCGTCCGGGTGGCTGCTTAAGGGTTAACGCTTTATAAAATCCAGTCTGAGTAAAAGTTGTTCCTACGACGATGACTCATGTTAAGACAGGTCAAACCTGCACATTTACTTCAGTTTAGCGTAATCATGCATGAATAGAAGTTTCTGATTGCTTCGGTGTCTTTCAGGACTGGGCTGAATTTGTATTTTGCAACTGCAGCACATTCACACTTCAACCCAAATTTTAAAAAACGATAGTACTTTGAAAAGGCGCATTCCTCGCGTTTGCCACAGCCTGACCAGAATTGGAGGGTTTGGGATTTGGGGCTGGGTTGTGGCTGAAAAGAAACCCGGTGCATTCCTACCTCCCAGCTGTCTGTGGCGATTTCAGAGAAACGCTTCAATCAGTATTCCGGGGAGGGAGGGGGAAACGACCCCCTCGCTCTGGGAAGGCGAGGCGGGACCCG